CATGATCCCTCTTGTACATCTATGCTAGCTGCAAAACAGACACTATAGTGGGACAAATGAATATTTTGGACAATAGTTTCTATGATAGATCTGTTGATACTGCACCAGGTGAGGTAGAATTTGATCAGGCAATGTCTTTTAGTAAGTCCTAGGTAGTCCTGCTGAATTTTAAAAGAAAGGGTAGAATTTGCTCATCTTCCCAAAGTGTTCATATTTAAAGGGGAGGAGCAAAGGACAAAACTAGAAGTGTAATAGCTGCTCTAAGTTTGCAGAGACACATAAATTATCATTAGTTCTTAATATTGATGTTCTTTTTTGTTAATTAATAGAGCGCCAGGATTCTTTTATGGTGAGAAAGATGGGCTTCTGCTCTGAGTATCAACATTTTTTAAATGTACTTAAGTCTGTTCAGATGTGAGAACCAGGACCATCCTGGTTTGGTTTAAAAAATGATGAATCATTGGCTCTACTCAAATTTCAAAGTTTTGCTTCTCAAGGGTCTTAAGAATAAATAGTGTTTTAAGCTGTGTGCATAATAAAAACACCCAGTGAAGCATGAGTGGTATGTTGATTTTGCTTAACTGGGAGTGTCAAATAGCAGTTATGGGTTAGAAACTTATGGAACAGCCACCCTCACAGGTGATGGGATTGCTGATTCAGACTTCCCCGTACAATTTTGTTCAGAGTAATAAAGCCATTTTATAATACTGCAGTATCCCTTTTCTACAGCCTTATTTAAATAGCTACAAACATTTTTTTCTAGTGCAGTATCCCTTTCATTGTGTATGAAAGTTTTACTCTACAGACCAACAAACCAACTTGAGGTAAATTATATAGCTTTCCATATATCCTTTTTTCCTCAGGTGCTAAACAAAGGCTCTAAAAAATGGATACTGCTTTAGTAATGTCTGCTTTATTCTTAAAATATTTCTTTTGCTAGATGTAAAGATTTGATGTTAACAAAAATGGTTTTAATATGTAAATATGAATGCCTTTAGTTTGCCCCTGTTTGTCTATTAGTCTGTTTCATTTATCCTCTCTGGAGGAGGATCCTTTCATGATCTTGAATACATTTCATTAGGTATGTTGCATTTTTAGAATAAAAATACAACAGTTTTGTGTCTTGGATTAATCCTGCTGCTGCTCTGAGAAACTGAAAATCAAGAATGTGATGCACTTTTTACATTACGATATACCATACCTTTATAGGTTGCTTTGATACCTTTCCTGTAGCACAGCCACTAACAAAAGTGAATGAATTTTAAAATTCTCTTTGGGAGGGAATCAGTACAAATAACTTTGTGGTATTGGCCTATGAAGGACAATAACTTAGGAAAATAAAAATTCTGTTAGTATTACACTTTTTGGCCTTAAAATGTCTTCTACTACTGAAACTCGTTTAATTCTAGTTTTGTTTCTATTATTTCCTCTCTCTGCCTCAAAAAGAGGAGCTGGGAAGAATGGCTTAAAGGCAGTAATATTATTGGTTTGTTGTTGATCTCTCTTGGAAAGAAAACAATTGTCTACTATATAAGCTAAGGACTTATTTTTTTGTTCATATACAGAAGAGAAATAATGCTGCCCCAAGCAAATCATATTTACCTTAATCAGATCAATCAGAACTCCAACTATTCTGCTTCTCTAGTATATTTTTACTTAGCAAAGATAAACAAGTATAGTAGGAATGTTACTTGACAAGAAAAAAGTCATTTTTCAAGCACATATCCAAACTTGAAGGATATTAAACCCAAAATAGGAGGAAAAAACACCAAATGGGGTGGAGGAATATGAGAAAGATGTGGTCCAAAGCTATCTGGTTATATTTTGATGTTGCCAATATTGCAAAGCCAAAATTTTAAGTTGCTTATTTAATATATTTCTTGGCCAGAGATCTATTTTTATATCAATGTGCCTTGCATGTATATTAAAAAAAAAAAAATTTGGAAAGGCCATGTAGTAATGCCTGAGATGGTTGATGGTTCTTGCCACCTCACTAATTTTTATGCAGTATGAAATGCTCATTCTATCACCCAACTGGTGCTCTCTGTTTAAAGTTATAGATCTTGTCACAAACTGGAACTATTTTATAAACTGGGGAAGTGATTTAATTTACTTTTTTTGTTCTTAGTCTGTTAGTGGCTGTTCTGTAGTGGGAAATAGTAAAGGATTCTTCACTCCCTTTCCCTCCCCCCTTAGCACCTTCTTCAGATAATGTGATGACACCATATCTTGTGTGTTTTGAAAAAAGTTTCAGCTTGCTGTTTCCTTTAGTGTTATAAAAAAAAGTGTTATTAAAAGCATTGTTTGCAAAATCTAGGGAGATAACAGTCCGCTTTAATTTGGAATTCTTTGTGAGCTATGATCCAGGTTATTGGCTCTTTCCAACGTTAAATTTTTTTATTGTTAAAGCACCTTGCTTAGAAAATTTTAAATACTTACGTGTGCAACAATTGTCTCAAAGTAACGAACTGTGCAATTCTTGTCATTAAAAGAAAAAAAAAAAACTCTCCCTGATGTGACTTGTTAGTTTCTCTGTATTTCCTGCCAGTGTAAATGTGAAAAGCTTTGCTTGCATTACGTTTTAGAAATGCATTTTGCACACTCGAATTTTGCCGAAGCTCCATGAAAAGGTTAGATCAAAGTAGATGAATAAAGCTATGCACATGTTTTGAAAGTTAATTTGTGTGTCATTACCAAAGTGACCTATCCTTATTTCTTTGCTGTTCTTAACTTCACCATCTTTAAAAACATGGCTCAAAATTACAGTACTGGGCTAGCTCGTCTATGGAAGCAGAAGAAAGGAAAGCTGGCACCTATTTTAGTAAACTTCAGTTTAAATCAGAGCTTGACTTGTATCTACTAAAGGGCTTCTCTTGAAACAGGGCATTTTTATCAGTTTTACAAACTGCTGGATGCTCTTTACTTCCTCAGTGAAATTTTTGGTTTATTTGATCAAGTAAAAATGGGAAGTAATTCAAACTGAAATGAAGGAAGGATCTTTGCCACATGGAGTTCTGTGACAATTTTATGACTTAAACCTGGTTTAAAGGTAGGATAACATTTTTACCTTTATTACTTTAGTGTAAATTTGGTTTAATGAATGAATGATTGGCTTAAAATTAGAATCATTATCTTGCTTAAGTATCTAAGCACAGGTTGTTTTAAAGATAATGTATGTCTTTAAAAAATTGCCCAAGTCGATTAGAACAAGTTTAGAATTTGGGCAGATTTGGTTAAATTGCTGCAATCTGCATGTATTAAATAGCTTTACTTCACATGTATGTGTACTTAAAAGATTGTGTAGATATACTGGCCAGGTTTTGTCAATCATCTTTTAAAATATTGTTTTGTAATCTCTCCAGGACCTTGGTAGAAGAGGCTAATAAGTTTAAGTAGAAGATAATACTAATGGTATTTTCCCCATGCTTCTAGATATAAAAGAAATCCTTGTTTTATAGCTTTATCCTATGTATAAAAGAGTGTTACTTCTCTGTCATCAAGTGTGCTCTTGGTGTATGTTGTTGACTTTGAAAACACAGCAAACCCCTTCCTTCTGTATCTTCACTAAAAGTGACAGTTAAAAACTAAGTCTACTAGTCAAGACTCGAAAGGTGGCCAATAATGCATGCACGGCCTTAAAAGGCATAAATGCAGGAGCGTAGCATTATCTTAGTTGGCTCTGGCTTCTCAGCATCCGTCAGTAGTTCACTTCTGTTCAGTCTTAGGACATATTTGGAGGAGCAAAATTTGTGTGTTGTGTGTCAGAATATAGGAGCTGAGTTACCTCAATCTGAGGGAAAGGATATAATTAGTGGACTACAGTTAAGTTAGAGGATGTTTTTCCTTCCCTCTCCCAATTAAAATTTTTTTCTCTGTATTGCCCAGTCAAAAAGATAGGCTTTTTCTAGGTAAAAGAATAGTGGCCAGAAATTTACCCTTTTGCTAAATGCTTAGGTATTTGCCATAGCTGTTTCTGATACGGATTCTGAGGAAGTGTCAGTTACATAATGATCTTCCTTTATGATGTCTTATTTCATGTTCAGTGTTTTAAAAATATAAATTACAAACACTCTACATCCATACCAAGATTTACTTATTTTATCAGAAAAACAAACTTGAGAACTTTGTAGATTCAATTAAGAGACAATAAGTGTACATTGTTGAATAAAAAATTTTAAAGTTTCTGAAGTGTTCGTGTTATCTTTTACGTGCTTTAACAAAAGTTACAGAAAACTTAATTTTGTGACATTATAATGATATATTTCTAAAGGGTAAAATGTACAAATTTAAGTCTTAAATGTGCCATGGTCATATATCATGGTTTTAAAAAACAATTACATTATTAACATGCTTAGAAATGGCATGTTTATTGAAAAATCATCTGTGAGAACAACTATCCTGCCTTTTTGCATGACATTGAGCCTTATGTTCTTCCAATTAAAATGAAAAACCAAAATTGAGCTAAGCAATTCAGCAACCAAAATTAGTTGCTGAGATTCTGGATTTATTCATAACTTTGTGTAGAAATAAATGCTAATGCATATTTGAGAAACTTCCTAAGTTTGTTTAGCATTGATTCATCACCAAGTTTTTAAAAAAATGCTGACATCAACATTACTTTAGAGAAGGGGATGAGGAGAAAGGATGCAGAAACATTTACCAAAAATGTGTCTGTCACTGTATAGACTGACAACACTTCAGTTATTGCTTTAATGTTATTTGAGATGGGGAATAATTTAGCTTGGCATGGTAAGTGACTTGCAAAATCACAGAAGGAAATATGGGGTTTTATTGAAACTTGTTTCTAGAAATTCTCAGCCATGTAAGTGTGATTTATATAAAGCATGGTAGTTAAATCAGTCTGCAGCTTTTTTTTTTTTAAATGACATTCATTGTGTATTTCAGCTAACATTTGGAAGCAGTGTCTGAGTAGAAACAAAATTCATCCTAGGTTGCTTAACAAGGTCTCATGCTTGGATTCTCTTGGAGCTTTTAATCCACTACTGCTGGATACAGCGAATTGATTGAACAAGGGAAGTCTGGGCATGAAAACCCCACTCTCTCCAGTGTTTATAGTCTCCTCCATGACGGTCACATTCCAAGATATACTGATAGCCGCAGTATCCGGGATACTGGTAGCAAACCCAGCTAGAAAATCCAAAGCACATTGGACTATTAAAACTAGTTAAAAACAAGTCAACGCCCCAAAACAGCTCTTCAGTGCAATTGGTATGGAATGCTGCTAGGCTTAGAAAATATGACAGGCACCATTCATGAGGATAATATGGCTATAATTAATTGAAAATTAACCTTTGTGCAAAAGGATGTGAGAGTAGTCCATATGGTTCCATAGACTCGGGGCAGGGGGAGGAGAAAAAGCAGTCACCTTAAATTGGTACCAAGAATTTGAGATTAAAAATTGTAACTAGATTGTGACAGCCATACCAATATGTTCAGATATGAAATTTGGTAATATATGACCATTGAAATACTAATATTCACAAGGTTTACACCTGCAAGAGTTACTTTGAATTGTACTCTAACACTGTTTTTTTGCACTTATGCCCCAGATTGTATCTTCATGGAACCAACTTCATTGTTGAACCAACCCAGGGCTTGCAAGGAGGGGTAGTCATCACAGGTCTCCCATTGGCGTCCAATGAAATTTTCTTTCTCAAAGAGGGTAATTTTGGACTCCTTATGATTCTGTAATCCAGAAATTTTTTAAAAGTTTAGTACTAGTGTTACGGCTATCTTAATTTTGTAATTACCATATTTTTCAAAAGCAGAACACTCCTGGTTTACAGAAGGAAGTACATGATTACTGATATAAAAATATTTCAGGCAATATGGAGATTTATGAAACATTTACCCATAATCCCACGTTCGTACCATAACATTTAAAATGTACAAATAGCTGGTATAATACTTTGAGACAACAAAAGACTAATGAAAAGAGGCATAAAAAATTACTTGTGGCACACAACCAACCAAAGGATTCACTAATGTGGGAAAAGATCCTACAAATTAATAAGGAAAGTAAGTTCATGTATGTTGTATGGTGTTGGAAATAACCTAAAGTAGGGCGTGTGAATACTACACAAGTATTAAGAAGGCAGAGACCTGAATGAAGTACAAAAACAGTCAAAACTATCCGTCGTGATAGAAACGGGAAGAGCAGTTGATTGGAAAGGGACATCAGGGAACTATATGGGGTGATGGAATTGTTTTATTGTGAGTAGGGTATTGCTTACTGTATGTACATATTTTTCAAACTCACAAGAGTATATACTTAGGAAAATTGAAGAGTTAAAGTGAGATGAAAACACATCTAGATAAAGCAGTGCACTTTAGATTTATAACTTTAGATTACTTTCTTCACTACTTGAATTTTGGGATTTCAAACCAAGATGAGGTCATTAAGATCATGAGAAAATAACATGATATAGAGGAATATTTGGAAAGGTGGTAGCCCAGCCTCTGTCCCAATAAGGGGTGATTTTCAACAAACCTTTGAAGATCATCTTGCTTCTGCTTGAACTCTCCAAAACTTTAGAAGCATCCTACTCTGATAGAGAATTGGATAATGTTTAGTATTAGAAACAAGGTTATGAATCAAAGGTAAAACACTGGAAGGTTTGCCTATTTCTTTGGTTATCCCAGTTATTGAGGGGTTACTTCAGTATTTATCTGTTTCTGGGTAAAATGTTACACAGGTTGAATTTTAACTGACCAATTACTTAGTTTTTACTTCAAGGCTTTCACTAGTTACTTCACTTTTGAAGATCTGAACTCGAGTATCCACTTCCTGCTACCTATAAATAGGAAGGCCTTTACTTTGAGCTTAATGAAACCACCATCTAGTAGAGAAAAATCAAATGGCAAACTTAGACCAGTGTTTTTCTTCTCTTTTCTTCCTGCCCTATTCCCCACATGCACAGAAGTGAAAATTTCAGAGACTCACAGCGGAACAGATGGGGCGGAAGGACATGAGACACTTAATGTGGTAGGCATTACTCCCGCTCCAGGCATCCCAGCAAGGGTATTCTCTTTCCAGGACAAACTGTTGCCCACAGAAGCTGATATGCTCATAACCAATCCAGGTGCCAAAGACAATTAGTGGTATGTGTTTGTGGTGTTCAGAGTCTACCTGGCTCCAGAGAGAAGGGATCTTTTATTTTAAATATTAATAGTGGGGTAAAATATCAAGTCAATTCCAATAGAGCCATATGAAGTAATGTATTTATCACATGAGGTGGGAAATGAGCTGGCAGCTGCACTAAGCAGGTTTATAAATGTGACATTTGTTTTAGGATCATCCACTGAAAGGGTGTACTCGCTGGCTTGAATAATGTGTACTACTACAGTCAGTCTAATTTAGATTTCCTTTCTCTCCAAGTTATCTTATTCTCTACTTGGAGCTCCAGGTTTAGGATAAAGTGACTGACTATTGCTTTGGCTCCAGCCAAACCTAAGGAAGCAAAGGTTTGAATAGGCAGCTAATGGATTAACGGTCTCTTGTTTCCTTGTCATTTTGTGGGTTCCTTCTGCTGTCACACACGCGTATCTTACTTATAAAACCCCTCAGATCAATTTTTCACAACCAGTTCTCATTTACTGACAACACCTTAAAATATGCCTTTTGAAGGGTTAAAGAGATCAATTTTGATGGTGAGCAACCGCTTAGGCCAAAAGAAGGGTTTTCAGGCTGATAAAGGCCTCAACTACACTGCCAAGAGTCAGAAGACAAAAAAAAAGGTCTTCCTCACCGAGATTAACCACCACCAAGAAATTCCTAGAAGACTAAATATGAACGAGCATGACTCTCAAGTCCTGTGGTTGAGTTCCTTTTTATACAGAGAAATTAGCCAGTGATATCTCCTCTGGGACATGGAGAAGGGGAGTAGTTGTAAAGAGGTGGCAGCTTGACTGTTTTCCGCAGGCAAGAAATAACTCAAGGGTCCTGTGGCTGTTCTAAAGGGAATCCTAAGTAGCAACTTGTGGGCTCCAGAAGCACAGATCTGATCACTTGTTACTGCCCCAACCTATGATGTAAATATTTCTTTAATAACTCCCAAATCTAGTACCAACTCACTAAGAACCCCATGTTTCTTCTAGCTCTTTGAGTTACTAAATTACATGTGTTGTGATTTCTTTTGAGATTACATCAGTCATGAAGCCCCTCTCCCAGAAATGATTAGAGTCTGGGGGAACATCTTTCTTCCTCAGTCTCCACTTTTATGGTCTGATGTCTGAGGGGACTAGAAATAAGGGGCCTGACGTTCTGCTGAGGTCCATACTCACGCGTCACATTCCACCTTGAGAGATCGGACGTTATCAAAACTGCGCTCAGAGACATTTGGGCAGGAACTGGTGAACTCCATCCTCTTGCCCCGGAAGTTCTCCTGGTCATAGATGGTTATCTGAAATGAGACTGAATGGAAAAAAGAGAGCTAGAATGTGATACATCAGGAAGAACAGAGGCCTTGGTCAACAGCTCAGCTTGTGCCTGACCCTGTGTTTTCCATCACTACTGCAGCCTAGGATTCCTGATGAGGTCCCTTCCAATATAGACGGGGAAGGAAAGGGTTTGAATTCATACCATTGGTCGATTGGTGGTGTTCACATGCCCAGGCTAAGCATGAGGAGTGGGAAATCAGTTTATGATAGGAATGATCTGCTAGGAAAGATAGCTGGTCCAGGGACAGACCAAGGACTCAAGGACTCTTAATTCACCATGCTTCCTGCAGTTCAGGGGCTAGGATTCTGAGAGTCCCTTTGGCTCCTTGTGGATTATTACTCAGCTATTCTGGACATACCTTCTATAGGAACCTAAGGTGTAGACAGAGAGTTATAATAAACCCCTTCTATGCCTTGAATTAGAGTTCTTGAACCTGGCCAGAGAACAACTCCCAAAGCTGTAAACTGGCCTCAGAGTTGGTCCAATGAAGAGGGTAGAGGTGTTGAGGGAAACCTAAGGATCAGCCACTTCAGGTAATAGTTACAGCCAAGTTCAGGACAGGAGTCAGAAGACCTGGGTCCTATTACTTATTTGGGATCTGGTGGCAAATCTCTCTTCATTTCTGGGCTCTGAGTTTCTCCATGGCATCATCCACTCGGGCTGCTCAATTCTAAGATAATTTTAGCAGGCAGAGGAGAGCTGAACTGGAAAATAGGTATCATCTCCCATTAATTATGGGCTCCCAGGGTCATCCTTCTTGTCCAAATGGGGCATCCTAAGAGATCCTTCCTGAGAGAGCATCTGGACCTTGATCGGTACGAACTGAAAAGCACAGCCTGAACTGTGGCAACATCTCACATCCTACCTTGTTAGATTTCTCAGTTTTCTCTGTGCTGGGGGTGGGCTTACCTTCCATAGCCCCACGGACCCTGGCATGGGGTTGGTTTGAGCCATCTGGGTGGTTGGAAGTGTTTCTGGAAGACAGAACACACACTAATGACATGGCCTCTGGGATGGGAGATGAGGTGTTGGAGGACAGGGGAAGAAAAGGAGGCTTGAAGTCCAGTAGACAGGCTTTGGCCGGGGGTCTGGCTCTGCCTCTCACTAGCTGAGTCCCTGTTGCCATCCATCAGTAAAGCTTCTATGTGCAGAGCTATTGCAAGGATTAAAAGCAATAATGCAGGTAAAGCCCTGCATTATGCATGGTGACCTCTTGATAAATGTAGCTCTCATCCACTTGCCTGCCTCCAGATACCCCCTACAGGTGGCAGCATTGCCTCAATCTTACATACCCCAGTATAAAGTCCTTGGCAACCGTTTAGTCCAGACCCCTCATATTACCAGTGTGTGATCTCTCATCCATCCAGCTCTTCACAGCCCTCAAACTGACTGGCTGTGCATGGCCATGCTACCATCCCCTCCCTACTTCTCTGTCTCCTCCACCGACCCAGCTCCTCAGGGACTTCGCTGTTTTCCCCAGCCTGCAGTGACTTGCTTTCTTTCCTGACTTCTAACACTCATCACAGTATTGCTCTGTGCTCCTACTGCCTATGTCATGGTGAACATCCTAACAGCAGGGCCTGGGCCTCCTGAATGATTGTTGTAGCACCAAGCTGAGTTCACTGGGAGGCTGGGGGTGGGGAGATGGGTATGGGTGCCGTTGAAAAAGACTTATTGAGGGAGAGTGAGGAAGAAAAGAGGGTAATAAAAGCTAATACTTAATGGCTCACTCTGAACCAGGCCCTGTCCTAAATGCTCTACATGCATTAATACATTTAGTTTCCACAACAAGCCTATAAGGTAAGTACTATAATTATCCTCATTTTTCCGATGAGGATACTGAGGCTCATAAAGATGAAGTAGAAAGAAAAGATGGTAGGAACAATAAAGAAGGGAAGGATAAGGGGGAAGGGAGAGAAGAAAGAAGACAGACAGAAAGAATAGCCATTCATGGCGCTTCCCTCTGACTGGTATCGGGCCCAGGGACTAATACATGTAAATTCTATGATATGTCCGTTCATTCTGAACTTCTGAAAGCATTTCCCATCTCCTGCCCCCTATATCTTCTCCCCATGCTCCATGAGCCTACCATTTATTGGAGCCGCATGCCTCCTCCCAGGCATGATGACTAGGGTAGCGGTTTATTGCCATATTAGTGACTACTCTTGGGGTGGCAAGAGAAGGCGGCCTCCATACAGAGTTCCCCACTCTTCTCCAGCCATCCTAGGAGGCTCCGACCACAGGCATGAAAACTAAGTTCCCTCCTGCGCCTATCTCTGCAGGGGAAAGAAAGGAAGGGCCAGAGCATGCTCCGGGACCTTACTCACCCAGCTCCCACTGCACAGTCTGGGTCGCTACCTGGTGCCACTTTCTCTGTGGCCCTGCTCTTTATAGTCCTGCAGGCTCGTGGACTCTGGCGCTGTCAGCACTCTTCTTTCCCTCTGCTTTTGTTCTCCCTGATCCCCAGAGATTTCTTTGGTGGCTCAGCCTGCTGGGCAGGCATCCCTCAGGCTTTGTTTAAACTGGGGAAACAGAAATCCAGAGAAGCCCCACTGCTGTGGGCCTGTGGGCGAGGCTGGTGGCTGCAAGCCTCAGTGGCTGTGGTCTCGATCTCAGAGCAGCTGGGAGGTAAGGACAGGTCTCTGCATGAGTGCTTGTCCCCTGTCCCTCTCCAGATTCCTCATGCCACCCCAGGCCCTTCCTAAGACCTCATATAGAACACATCGAAGTGCACCTCACTTCCCATATAGGAAATATAGTTTTTGTCTTTGTTGTTAAAAAATGTGAAGGATTATTACAATTCTGAACTTCATTAAGAAAAAAATAGGCTTTGCCTGGTGTGGCTAAGTTGGCTGGGCATTGTCTCGCAAAGTGAAAGGTCACCAGTTTGATTCTCCATCAGGGCACATGCCTGCATTGTGGGTTTGGTTCCTGCCCCAACTGATTGATGTTTCTCTCTCACATCGATGTCTCTCTCCCTTTCTTTCTCCCTCCCTTCCCCTCTCTCTAAAAATAAATAAATTATATTTTATTTTTAAAATTATATTTTATTGATTATTCTATTACAGTTGTCTTGATTTTTCCCCCTTTGCACCTCTCTACCCAGCACCCCCAGTCCTTCAGGCAATCCCCCCACCATTGTTCATGTCCATGGCTCATGTGTAAGTTCTTTGGCTGCTCCATTTCCTATACTGTTCTTTACATCCCCATGGCTATTCTAAATAAATAAATTTTTTAAAAATTTAAGAAAAAAAATGGTTCACTCTGTTCTTGGAAATCTTTGTTATACTATATTTATGTATAAATATGTAAGAGTTAAATTCAATTATGGTTGACTGGTAGACATGACTCTCTGTAGCTGTTTCATTAAATATTTATTTTAATTTTGCAATTTTCTTTTAAAATGTTTAAGTCAATTAATCTTTTTAGGTTTTTAACATACTGCTTTAGGCCCTTGGCAGTCTCACAGGCCCAAGGTACTATACCTATAGTACCCTAACAGGTAAAAAGATCTCTCTGGAAGTTCAGGGCACTTGGTGAGGTTATTGTAGAGGAATCATGGGCTTTGCCAGGAGTCCTGAAGGGGAGGCTGTGTTGTTTAAGCATCACAGCTAGTGTGAGAAGCAATGATAGGGTACAGTGGGTGGGGAGGGGACTTTGAGCCTGGGAGATGTAGGTTCAAATCCCAGCTCCTCTGTCTGGGTGACTGAACAAATCACTCGGCCTCTCTCAACTCCAAGAAAGAAGATATCTGCTTGACACATTGCTGGCTTATTATCATGTGTTATCCTACTGTCGTTCTGGCTGCAGATACTGTAGAAAACCTGATAGCAGCTTGAAGAGAAGAAACTTTTCCCAATGAATTTCTCCTAATCCCTCTGCCAATCTCTCTAGCCTGTGGCTCAAGGTTTGCCAGAGTCCCCCATTCTCAGAACCAAAACTCAGGGGGCAAATTCTGGTATGTACACAAGTATTTGTAGATTTAGGCAGAATATTCCAAAGGTACAGGTCTACTAAGGTACAGATACTAAGCACAGTGTGCCACACTGGGATATTTCTGCAGCTTTATAAATTGGTGATGTCTGGATAAATAGTTGGCAAGGGACAGAGTCGCCTTAGGGATGATCATGACAGGCTCTGGCAGGCTGGTGGCTGTGCAAGGGCTCAAGGCATCAGCTGTCCATGGCTGGTGGTTCTTCCTCACCTGTTCTCCTCCTCCACAAAACTGAAGTCTTCAGGCAACACTTATTTGGTTATTTATTCATTCACTTATTCCCTAACCTCTGTTTTGGCTTAGGCGACCCTTCAATGTTCTCTCATGGAACCCTGTACTTCTCCAATTGTTGCATTGATCATGCTGTAGAAATTACTTAAGAAACTAGAAATATTGGGCTCCAAGGAGGGGAAATGAGGCACTTGGGACTCGGGAATAGAATAAAATCTTTCACTATATGTTTTTCTGTACTTTTGAGTTTTGAACAATGTAAACATTTTATATCAAAATAAAGTTATTTTTGAAAATAAAGAAACTGATTGCTTGATTATCTGCTTCTTTCGCTAGTCTAGAAGTCTAGACTTCACTAGACTGCTCTGTGAGGGCAGGGGCTTCATCTGTCCTGTTCATCATTGTATCTTCCGCTCTGGGCGTAACTCCTAGCTCAATAAATATGTTTTGAATAAATTAATGGCATCCTATGATGGGGTTTTGTGATTCTGTAGGCACACGATACAGTCCTGACTTACCCTAGCCACACTGATCTGCCTGTGTGGTTTTTGTGCATCATATAATCTCAGCATTTTAATTTGGGAGCTTTATACGCACTGAAGAGTTAGTACAGTGAAGACTGATTGAGCCAGTTTTTTATTTTTGCAGAAAAGTGGAGCTTTTTTATGTTTGGCTGAAAAGCCCAAAACTATTGTGTGTGTTGGGGGGTCAGGGTTATTGTGCAAACAATTTACCAATATCCACTGACTGTTCCTAGAGTCATACACAGCCCCAGCCTGTTTTTCCTCCACTTTCCTCAATTATCTCAAGTCTGTGGAAGTTGGAAAAAGATGACCAGGTCTCGAACGCTAGCCACCATGCTTTTCAGATATTACCTCACTATGGTTTTTAACCAAGTTCTAGCAGACACCCCTCAGACATTGTCCGGAACTGGTGCTTCATTTGCTCCACGTTGTTTACCTCCAGCCCCCACCACCTCTCCCCAGGAAAGTCAGGATGCAGCTACTCCAGGAGTGCAAATGAGGGGAGCAGCCAGCTTGTTGTAATCCCTTCTCCCAAACTGGGTTTGTGTCTCTCCTGGTCACCCATAACAGTAACTACAGCTTACTGAGCATGTACCGTCAACCACACAATGCTTCCTTTATCCTCACAATGCCGTGATGTACAGTAGATCATTACTATACTCATTTTAAGGATGAGTTAATTAAGGTTCTAAGGGGCTAAGCTCTGGGCCAGGAAACCCAGCAGGGACTTGAATGCATGACCATCTGACTCAATGCCTATATTCTTTCCTCTGGGCAACTCTGTCTCCCTGGCATAAAGCAAAATGATAACATCTATCTGACCCACTGACTAAGGCTATGTGCCAAGCATGGTAGAGGCTCAGTAGAACTTTACAGATGGCTTGAATGCCCTGGCCTTGCCGCTGGGCCCAGGGAGCCTCACAGGATGAGGCCCAGTGTGGGAGGGTGAGGTCATGGGACCAGGACAGCCCCTGGACTCAGCCCTTTGTGGCAAGAGCATAATGAGGCTGACCAGGCGGCTGAGCAGCATTTCTGTTGTTTGGGAATAAACAGATGGGTACAAAGCAAAGGGCCTAGTCAGCATTCAACCAGCATCTACCTGCCCCCATGAGGAGCTGCTTCTAGGGGACCTTTACTGCCCTGTCCCTTGTTACCCCCTTAAGCAAGCAGGAGAGCCAGGGCCTGGGAGTCCTGAGAAGGCACAAGCACTGGGAGAGAACTCTGGAGGCACCTCGAGCCTCCAGTTCTTTCTGAGCAGTGTCTGAGGTCATCCATTTTCTGCTTCCAGGCACAAACGGGCACCCACCTGCTTGGAGGGCTGCTGTGCTAAGGGCCCAGCCTCCCTAGCCTGTTCCCCTGGTGTGTAACTGGCTTGAGGGCATTTTAACTCAATTCATTCTAGCTGAATTTCTTGGTACTGCATTTCCTATCAACTGGAACTCTATGAAACTGTTAGAAAAATAGGTACGAGACGGCACTTACCCTACTGGGTGATGTTTAGCTTACTCTTCACTACAGCAGAGCAGTCCAACTCTATGTCTCATGTAAAGTGACTTCCAGATAAGCAATGGATATTGTGCAGTATAAGTAGTTTCCAAACACTTTTTATACTAAAAAGTTACTTGGCATTCTGAGTTTTATCTGCCAAACCTAGTCTCCTCCCGCATTATTGGCAGAGCACCCTGTGAGGCCGCTCTGCCAATCCGCTTCTCTTCTGTCCTCTGGAGGCAACAGTGTAAAAAGTAGGAAGCCTTCCCTGGCATACCCAGGCCCGACAGCCGCCCCTCAACACTCTCTCTCTCTCTCTCTCTCTCTCTCTCTCTCTCTCTCTATATATATATATATATAAACTTATATATATATTTATACATATAAATATATAATATATATATTATATATGTATAAATATATATATAAAAATATATATATTTATATATATATAAACACTATATATATATAAAACGAAGAGGAGAATGGAAGAGAATCAGTAAGTTTTTAAGTGTTTCTCCAAATCTTATTTAATCTTCCCAAATCCTGTAAGATATGCTTAACTAACACTAGTTTACAGTAGAAAAATAGACTCAGACATCTTATGTTACTTACCCAAGGTTACACAGCTAGGAAGTAGAAGAGTTAGATGTCAAATGCAATTCTCTTTGGTACCAAAATTTGTATTCCTTACTATGTTGCTTATCAGAGTCCCTTACCCTGTGTGAGCGAGCATGACTCACAGGGAATAGCCATAAAAATAACTTTATTCTCATCTCCTCAGCCCCTTTTCTCTCTTTGGTGGGCCTAGTTTCTCTCCCTTGCCCTGGAGATAAACTTGGGCAGTCCTATGATTTTTTTTCTGGCCACTTTTAGGTAGCAATAAAAGTGGATTACTTTAAATCACAAAGGACAGTCTCAATTTTCAATTAGAATGTTTAGTCCGCTAGAGTAACCAAAACTTTTATCTCCATTCAAACGCAAGTCCTCTCTCGGCCATCCCAGGCAGGACCTGCTTTAGACAGAAAGCCTGCACCCAGGATAAGTGCACTCTTTTTTCTTTTTCCTGCTTACTCACTGGTTTCTGATCCTTCCAGTGTTGGAGGGAACGGGAGAGGAAGAGAGTAGAACACTTCTTACTTGATGGTCCCATGGTAAGATGGCATCACACTGTGCCTGGCTACACTTCAAAGCTGCCTGTCTTGTGGGCATTTCTTAGTTCTTGGGAGAATCCCACCTGCAGTAGCCTTAACCTAGGTCTATGCATCTTCACTATACTCTTCCTTCTACAGCCCCTAGGCACCTGGTGGTCTGCTTCTAGCTTCACTCTGCTGAGGACGCATAAACCCTCCAGGAGTTCTAGTGATCTAAATCAACCCCAGCCCCATTCTAATTCTTTCTGAGCCATGGCCCACCTCTGGTCCATGGGAAACACTCATGTGTACTTTGCCAGGGCAAATTCTGGTGTGTAGGCTGATTTGTACTCAGTCTCCTCTACTTTGCCTCATCCCTCAGAGGTTGCCCAGACGAACTTCTGACCTTTGGATTTCTAAATGCTGAGGATGCATAGCAGTCTTTCCAAGTGGGCCCCTTGGAGCCTTCTCTTCTGCTTTGTGGTGGAAATCTTTCACCCCTTTCCCTGAAGGGTGTAGGGTTCCTATCACGGCTTTCTTCAAAAATTCTCTCACAGCCTTGGCCGGTGTGGCTCAGTTGGTTGGGTGTCATTCTGCAAACTGAAATGTCGCTGGCTGGATTCCTGGTTAGGGCACTTGCCTGGGTTTCGGGCTCGGACCCTGGTCGCAGTGCATGTAGAAGGCAAACTGGTCGATGTTTTTGTCTCACATCAATGTTTCTCTCCTTCTCTTTCTCCCTCCCTTCTACTCTCTAAAGTCAAAAAATAAAATTAAACTGAAAAATTTTCTTTACAGTTCTGTCGCTGACCTCTCCAACTCCTTATATGTTTGGGGTAAGAAGGGAGGGTCAAGAACCATCAAATTAGTTTTCAAACACCTCCTTTGAAATTTCTGCATATTGATCTGTCACAAAACTCACTTTGATTTCTGGTATCTACCACTTTAATGTCTCAGCCAAAGTTCCATGTCCCCATCCTATTACATACGTGTGTTACTTCACTGCTCTCTTCATGCTGCTCACCCACCCAGACTCCCTTCACTCCCAGCGGGCGAGCTCGCATCCTGTTTCATCCTGTGTGGATTTCCTCGGCCTCCTGCCCCAGGAGCCTGCAGTACCTGCAACACTGTCTATTTCCACACCACCCTCACCTCTTCACCTCTAGTCCCGTATGTTCACCACTTCCTGTCCTGGATAACAAATGCTTCTGCCTTCCTAGGAACTTCATTTAACCAATTAGCACCCTCTTGTCTATAGTACTTTTAAAAAGTAACCCCTATATTTTATTACAAGAGTATATGTAACTTAAGAAATCATATATTCATAAAAGATATAGAATAAATACTTTCTTACAAACCTAGCAGCCCCGCTACCCAGAGGTTACCATTTTAAATTCTTCTAAACCAGATTTTTTTTCTGGTTTCCATTGGTTTTAGACATTAGGTACCGATTTCCTATCTTGGCAGACAGGATTCTAGCTCTCTTTCCCTCCCTACCCTTTAGAGGCATATTACAACTTTTGCTTAAATCCCTACTCAGGGAATCCATTTCTGTAACTTTGTAAACATTGTTCACTACTAGACCAAGGAACGCATCATACTATTTCCTTTCTTGAACCACGTTTTACTTTTCCTGGAGTTAAAAATTGCCTCATTTTTTCATAGATTCAGTTCTTCAGCACCTAACTAAATACCTCTTAATACCATATTCTCCATGCTCATTTGAGGTCATCTATCAGGTCATTTACAACCCCATCTTTCCCCCCTGGAGACTCCTTCCTGAAAGCCTCTGTTCTGCTCCAGACGGAAGGAGTTTCTCTCTGTGCTGCTGCACTGGTGTTGCCCAGGGACTTCTCTTGCTAACATTTTAGAATTAATTCCCTTTGCTATGTTCAGAGTTGACTCTGTCTTTCTCTTTCATAGTTTTAGTAAAGTACATTCTCTAATAGTAACTTGGGAAATGGCACATAGAGATACATTTTTAAGGTCAAAATACCCGAAAACGTATTTTTCTACAGTCATATTTGATTGAAAGTTTGGCTGGGTATAGAGTACTAATACCCTACAAATCAGGAAGGCATTCTTTTTTGTCTTCTGTGTGCAATGTTGCTGTTGAGAAGTGCAATGCCATTTTAATTTCTGATCTTTTATATGAGCCTTTTTTTTCTTTCCAGAAGTTTTTGAAATCTTTTTTTTTCTTCCTCAGCGATCTGAATTTCCTGAGGCTGTGCCTTGGTGAGAATCTTTTTTTTTTCCCCCCTTTATTTCTCTGGGCATTTGGTAGACTCTTTCAACCTTAAGACAGGTATGTCCTTCAATTCTTGGAAATTTTCCTGTATTATTTCTTTGATCACATTCTTACCTCTGCTTAATGTCTCTTTTTCTGCAACTTTTATTGATTGGATGTTGGACCTCCTGAATTGATACTCTAGTGTTATACTTGTGTTCTATTTTTATGTCTCTTTGTCTTTTTGTTTTGACATGTAAGAGATTTCCTTGATTTTGTTTTTTTAATTCTATATTAGTGTGCTGTCGCTGCTATAGTAAATTACCACAAACATAATGACTTAACCAACACAAATTTATGCTCTTATGGTTCTGGAGACAGGACTGCATTCCCTCTGGAGGCTCCAGGGGAGAATCTGTTTCTTTGCCTTTTCCAGCTGGTAGAGGCTGCCTGCATTTCTTGGCTCTTGGCCCCAGCCCCTACCTTCAAAGTCAGCAGTTAAGCATCTTCAAATTTCTCTCTCTGATTCTGATGCTTCTGACTGCTTCCCTCCTGTGAGGACCCTTATTTATACACCTAGATAACCCAGCATAACCTTTCCATCTCAAATTCCTTAATCATATCTGCAAAGTCCCTTTGCCATGTAAGATCATATTCACAGGTTCTGGGGGAGCAGAATGAGTATATCTTTGGAGGGCCATTACCCTGTCCACCGTAAACTCTTTTAACAAATTTGTTATTTTAGC